GATAGACATTTCCCCATTTTTGAGTTCTTCCAAGCTTAATGTCAAAGTACTGATGTTCCAGTCCCTTTGGTATCTAGAACTTAGCCCTAGATCCAGTACAGGCCCTGCCCAACAGAGGTTCAGTTTATGATAGGCTGGAGATAGGAAGTCAGTAATTCCAACAGCCGGAGGCTGTCCTGCCCACCCCTTTTCTAACTGCTTTAGGAGCTTTCCACACGAAAATCCCATTGTCGTCACAAACGTACCATGTCCAAACCCAAACGGTCCTTTTCCCCTTGATACTGAATCTCTTTATCAAACTCTGTGTTTTAACCAGTGGAACCGCCAACCAGCTAGTTTCTGCCTAGTCATCTAGTCTTTCTCTATTTTATATATTCCATTCCTGTTCCGCTACTAAATCCTGTCATATTTTCATTAAAAAAAAAAAAAAAAGTATGTTGGTTGGTCCTGCCTTGTGGTCCTCATTTCCTTTTGGCATTACTCTGGTCTGCACCCTCCTGGCCAGGGTGCTAACTGGTCTGGTTGGCTTGTCAGACCCCAGTTATGAATCTATACCATCCATAACTGCCAATTCACTTTCCATAAAAAAATTTTTTTTTGCAATGTCATTCTTAAGCTCAAAAATCTTCCATTGCTAAGTAAAATAAGCCAGACACAAAAGGACAAATATTGTATGATTCCATTGATGTGGGGTATGGAGAGGATTCAAATGCACAAAGAGAGGAAGTAGAATGGTGGCCACAGGAACTGGTGGGAGGCAGGAATGGGGAGGTGGTATTTAATGGATACAGAGTTTCAGTTTGTGATCATGAAAAGCTCTGAAGATGGAGTGTGGTGATGGCTGCCCAATAATGTGATTGTACTTCACACAACTTAATTGTACACTTAAAATGGCCCAAATTATAAATTTTATGTGATGCGTATTTACCACAATAATAAAAGAAAGAGAGCTTTAAAAAATTTCCATGGCCCCCCATTATTTATAGGACTATATAAAAAGTCTATCCAGCCTTTGAAATCTTCATTTTGGTTTCATTCTGTTTATCTAATTTTGTTTCCTCTTACTGACAGCATATTTCAGTGAATCTATCTTTTTGTATACCCTAGATACAACCCTCATCATTATCTTTGCTCGAAATGTTCCTGCAGCCCCTTATCCTCCTGTTGACAGAGGTAAGTTCTGCTGAAATTTTAAAACCCACCTTAAACTCTTCATGAAAACTTCTGAAACTATTCTAGCCTTTATTCCAAACTCTCCCTTGTCAGAAATATGATTGCATGTGCAGAAAGTAGCACACAGTTTAGCATTAAATTGTTCTCTCCATGCTTTAAGATTGGTTATCTTGCATCCACAGCTAGATTATAAATTTCTCAAAAGCAACAAACAGCATCAGGGGCACCTGGGTGGCTCAGTCAATTAAGCATTCGACTTCGGCTCAGGGCATGATCTCAGAGTTCGTGGGTTCGAGCCCTGCGTCGGGCTCTGCGCTGCCAGCTCAGAGCCTGGAAGGAGCCTGCTTTAGATTCTGTGTCTCCCTCTCTCTCTGACCCTCCCCTGTTCACTCTCTGTCTCAAAAATAAATAAACATTAAAAAAAAAAAAGCAACAAAGAGCATCAGATCTTTTTATATCTTCTGCAGCAGTCCAAGTAGCTTCTGAGCATAAGGAGAGTATCAATTATTGATTAATTGATTGGCCACTTAATAACAAATCATTCAATTATTCTCCTTTCAAAACTGTACACCTCAATCAAGGACATGCATAAGAATGATAACCTATTTTTCTTTGAAACAACTCAATTCTGCATAATATAACTAAAATTTAGCTTAAAAAATATAGCCATCCTAAATGAGAGGCATGCATTTAATGAGATTAAACTGTGTCCATGTTATGAGCTGGTCCTTAAGAGTCAATTGCTCAGATACTTTCCAATGAGTTGTACATTTCAGGTCATGCCATTTCTTTATCCAAGCATTCAGTCCCGGCTCGGAATTATGCATGTCCTGTCTTCCATACTGCAGCCTTGAAAGCCTCTCCTCATTTTACCCCATTTGTGACAGGCATAAATAATGGAATAAAAAACTTTCTTATGGGGGTGGGATGGAGGGAGGCTTTCTTTCATTCTGTTCCCTCCACTAGGAAGTCCCCATTATCTTGCCCTTTCCACTACTTAAACCACTACAAATCTTGAGCCATTTTTGAATGCTACAATTTTCCCAATATTTCCCACTAGGCATGGTTTTCTTTCTATGAGACTCTTCTTTAGCACTTTATGTGCATTTCTCTATATTGATGACCCTATGCAGCTCCTTGGATTGCTGCTACTGGCCTCACCAGATTTTGTCTTTGAGGACATGAGCCAAGTCATATTTAAATTTTTTCTATGACTCCTTGAGCCCAGCTTTCTATGGTATTTACTTAACAAATATTTGATAAATGAATCAACTTATTAACACAATAAAGGCAACTGCCATTTTTCTCAAGCACCCTTTCCTGTAATTCAGTCACAGTAGCTGCTCTTGGCTGGGACCTGGATACAATAAATTCAATGAGGATTAAAAAAAATTATAAAAAGTATTTTACTGAGGGTCTATGAAATTGTAGTGCTAAAAATAGAAGTCATATTTTTGGTCACTGTGGTCACACCTGTCTGATTCAAAATCAGCTTTTATAAAGAAAATGTTTAGCTAGTAATAAGTACCAGATGTTACCATCTGGACAAAAACACAATTAACTTGAATATTGTAAGGAGAGCACAACCTTTACCAGATTAACGTCCTTTCTCTAATGCAGACTTGGCTAAAGCAGAGTTTACATATCAACAAACCTAGTGATGCCCAGCCCCCATTCTGCTAACATATCCACAGTACAGTTAGACCCTTGTTCCTTCTATAAGTCTGCCTCATCCAAAAAAGAACAGTGAAGAGGCACATTGATTTGCCTTTAACTAAAAATTAGCACTTTTAACAATGTTAAATAACAATTATTAATTCAACAATTTAATAACTCACTTTTAGCAATGATTAGGAGAAAAGTTACACTAACGTTTCAAGGTTTGAATAAGATGCTAGGATCTAGTTCTATTCTTCCATAGCAGGCTTGCTCAGATGTGCTTTAGCCTGGCTACATGTCAAATCCTTTGGAAATAGTGTTGCCAAATTTAGCAAACAATCAAAGAAAAACAACAAAACAGGAAACAGGATGCTAGACTAAATTAGAATTTAAAATAATGAATAATGTTTTAGTATAAGTATGTCCCAAATATTGCATGGGACATACTTATACTAAAAAATTCTTTGTCATTTATCGGCATCAAATTTAACTGGACATTCTGTATTTTACCTGGCAACCCTGTTCGAAAACTTAAAAAGCAATATTAGATGGAAGGGAGAGATGAGTTCTGTGGTGGGGAATTAAGGTGATTCTTTTCATTGATATATTATGGTAAAATTATACAGTTTTAATAGGAAAACTGAGATATACTGGTAAATCAAATACTCTGTTTTAGAGAATGAGAGGGATCATGATAACTGCATTTGATGGGTGAAACTGAGTGAGCATAATTTAATCTTCCCATGATGACTCAGTATACTGTGGCACCTGAGATCATCCCTCCAAACTTTGATTAACATAGGAACACACTGATGTGAGCAGAAGCACCAGTTAAGACACTTCTGGTTAACAAACACAAGTTAAATGAGTTTGTGGTATGTTCTCATACATCAAGCAGTAATCCTCCAAGATTATCTTCCCCACATATCCATATTTGCCGAAATGATGAAGCCTGCTTTGTCAAAATAATGAAAATGCTCCTTTGGCAATCACCTTTAAAACAGAATGGTTTTTGCTCCAATCTTGTTTTCTTTATATCTCTACATGGTGACCACACTGTATACTCTGGCTTCTCTAGGATTATTGTATTTCTAAAAAATAATTTCTGAATACAAAAATTAGGTTAAAACTTAAGGGCTCTGGAGACTTTGGAAGTCGAGTGATGTGTTCACAGGATAACTTAATTCAGCAGTTTTTGTTTGTTTTAATCCAGTTTGAGTTAGGAATTGCCAACTGAAGAGGAGAGGGTGGTATTTTGAAATTCAGTCATTTGTGGATAAAACTGCAATTCATTCATCCATTCATTCATTAAAAAATAAATGTATTGAGCACTTGTTCCAGGCATACAGGATACAATAGAAAGTAAGGCAAACATGGCCCCTGCTTTCACGGATCTTACAGTCCAGCAGGGACACTGCAGCCTTGTTCTCTTGCATTAGTCTCTATTCTGAGGGGACTAGGGCCTCTGAAAGCTGAAAACTATCTGCTTCTGGTCATCAAGAAGAAAACTCTGCTTGCTGGGACTTTGTCCTAGGTTCAGTTCATGGAGTACCATTCACTGTGTAATTTACTGGGTACCATTTAGTTAACACTGACTCTAGGGCAAGTGTATTATAAATACTTTCAATTTAATCTTCATTACAGCTGAATTAAGGTTAATCTTACTGACCAGGAAATGGAGTTCAGAGGGACAAAATGTCTTGCCCATGGTCTCACATTCACCAAGTGGACAGTCGAGAGCGAGGCCTGGATAGATGTCTGCACACTTTCTGTTCATGTGACCATCCTTATAACATGCTGCCTTCCCAAAAATCTGCCTTGGTCAGTTATTTGGAGATTGTAGCTACCTTACTAGAGAGAAGTATCTAAAATATATCAGGGGTCATGATAAAAATATTAGCGCTATGAACTTAAAAGCAGTATCTTTTTTGGGAAAAAATAGCTCCTTAAAATAATAGTAAAATAAAATATATGTGAAAATAGTGTATGCTATTTTAGATATCTATGTTTAAATAAATAAACTAGACATTTAATTAGTCCTTTAACGTTGAGTCATGTAACATTTTTGGTTTTAAAAATCCAATAAAGTATTTGCCTTCTTCACATGTGAAGACTCACACACCTAGAATGAACTCTCAGGGAAATCCTTGTGAAAATGGAAAGAGAGGTTCAAATTTAAGTATGTTTTATTGAACTAAAAGGAGAACTTCAGAAATCAGAGTTTAGACTACTACGTTTGGAGTCTTTACAAAGTTACTTCTTCTTCTTCTTCTTCTTTTTTTTTTTTTTTTTGGTGCAGTGACATTAGATTAGAAATGAGCCAGAAATTATTTCCACCCTGACCTCAAATGGCCTTGTTTCTACAAATTTGTGAGCAACTTCTGAAATTTGTAATTCTCTGAAAATGACCTAGAACTTTTCTCATGTAACTGCTGATCAAAAATAAAGCCAAGGTTATATCTAACTTTTCAACATCCCTTCTTCCTCCAAACCTCTCTCCACCCAATTCCTGCCTCCAAGGCCTTGAACTTTCTTAGTCTTAGATCCTGAAACAGTAAACAAACCTGTCTCTGGTATGGAAATAAATATGATTTTGGTAAAATCAGGTGTCAGTTATTACTTGCCAAAATGGACTCTCCTATAAACAAGGATAGTTTTTTTCTCCTTAGTTTTTTCTTGTGGTGCTCTTGTCCAAATGGCTTGTAATTTCATTGAAAATTGCCCAGGTGGTGGGGCTTTTGTTTTTTTGTTTTTTTTTTTTTTAATTCAGTAGTTTCCTTGTCTCGATATAATTATCCTACAAAGGATAAAAATAAAAACAATAGTACTAGCATTCATGGAAGAAGAGATTAAATGTCCTAACTATGTACACTAACATAATATTAAAAGATAGTTCAGAGACTTTTAAAAGTGGTTCACTTTTAATTACTTTTTGGTGAATCAGTTACTGATTCCATTTAACTTTTAAACTTACACTGAAGGTTACATTGTACTGCTGTGTGTGTGTGTGTGTGTGTGTGTGTGTGTGAAACCTTTGCAATGTATTTACTTAAACGGTGAGGAATTGTGGCCTGACTAGTATTTACTTCAGAATACAGAATGGTGGCACAGGAAGATCAGTGAATCGCCAGAGAAAGGCAGTGAGAGTGACAGTGACGACAGTTCTTTTACTTCCAGCTCTGTCCCGAGCTGGCCCACTTTTTTAGCCATTTCGTGCCTCCAGAATACACCTTCATCTCCCAAATGGGTATAATCCCTCTACTTACATCAATTTAACAGAGATTTTTTAAGTCCTGTGAATGTCAGAAGAAACAAACGAAAAAAGAGGAAACATTGACCGATCAGTTTCTGATATTAGTGTATGCATTCAACAAAAGAGGGATAGATATTGAGACAAAAAGTTGTCCAGGTAGAGTGAGTGAAGAGAGAAATTCTCATAAGTTAAACTCCTTCTTGACTGTGGCTGACAGAGCCACCCATAGGCATCAAAATGAAAAAGGTGGAGAGCATGCCATGCAGTAATTTTTCATTGCAAATCGACTAAGCACCTGTCAGTGTGCCCTGCACCCAGGAAACAGAGATGAAAAGCACAGTGCTCACCATCATGGAGCTTGGAGTCAAGTGGAAAGGTGTCGCTTAGCACCAGGCTGTGCTGAGCACTTTATATCCATGAGCTACTCCATTATCACAACAATCCTGCATGGTGCATGATGACTGTTTTCTAGTTGAGATCACTAAGGCTTTGAAAGACAATAAATTCCCTCACAAAATAAGCTAGTGAGGAGTATCAACAGGATTTGAACGCAGATGTCTAAACTCAAAGCATATGCCTTTAACCACCAACTGAAAATGACCAGATTTATATAAAGAAAATGACCAGCTTTATATAAAATTATAAAATTCCCATTCCTAAAATTATAAAAACTCCCTATATTGCAAAGCTTACATAAATCAAAACTGGGCCATCTTCAAGCTGGAACTCACCTGTTATCTTGCAGCCATAGACTTCAAACCTCATAGATATGCCAGTTTCCCAAGTCACCGGTTTGATTCGGACAAATCGAGTTATTAGTGGTTTAGGGAAAACTCCAAACACAACATCTGTGGGGTTGGTGTTTCCCTGAAAGATCTATATAGAAAAAGAAAGGGTCCTTTAATGACAGACTCTTCAGATTTAAGACAAATACAAAAATATGTTTCCACAAATGCCTATAAAAATTATTTATAATTTCAGCATTGCCCATCAAAGGTTGAGGTGGCATTAGTAATTTGTCATGTTTTTTTTTTCAAATGATGGCAATCAGAAGAAATCACGTGTAATGTAGAATGTTGTCCTAATCATCCATTCAATTTTCTGAGATCCTAGAGACTCCAAAAGCACTATTACGAAGACAACATTTGTTAAAGGCTACCTAAAAAAGGCTATCCAAAAAAGTTGGAAATTATTAACTTTATCATAAGGACCTACATAATACTATAGATGGTGCATGGGAACTCACTCTATTTTACTTTCCCAGGAACCCCCAGAAGGAGTACTTTTTGAGTTCAGTGTAGGGTCTGGCTTTAAAAAAAAAAAAAAATTTTTTTTAACATTTATTCATGAGAGACAGAGCACAAGCGGGGAAGTGGGGAGAGAGAGAGACACACACAGACCCTGAAGCAGGCTCCAAGTTTTGAGCTGTCTGCACAAAGCCCAACATGGGGCTCAAACCCACGAACTGTGAAATCATGACCTGAGCTGAAGTCAGATGCTTAACCAACCGAGTTACCCAGGTGCCCCCATAGGGTTTGGCTTTTTGAAAATTCTAGGTTGTATTCCCAGCTACAGCACTGTTTCAAGTAGCTTCCCCTCTTTTAACTCCATTTCTTGATGGGAAACTTTATCCCTGACACCAACTAAGTAATGATCTTTCATCTTTTTTGGATATTGGTAAAATTATGTTTTAGTGGTCAAAATCAACACTGAGTTATAAATGATATGTAACTGGAAATCAGCTTTTCCAGGGCTCCTGCTTCTAGTTTTAAAAATGAGCCATTTTATTTTAAGAAAGATGAGGCTTGTAACTGCAAATGTAGTAAGTGCCAGTCATGAATGAGTTTCCCACAAGGATGTGTCGGGACTACTCTTCCTGGGCGTGGCTCCACTGCTGTGTTCTTCAGCAGGTTCCATGCTGGAACATCCGGCACTAGACCCACCTCAGGAGGAACTGAAAGCCTCTACTTCCCTGTCTTTCACTTTGGCCCTGAACTGGGGATATCCCGTGTCAAAGTAAATCAGCTAGTGCTCTGCTTCTTACACAGCCACACCATATTCCTATTATGTTGTGTCACTTGAGCATTACTGAGCCCATTGGAGGCCTGGAGATTCCTCCCCACGTTTCCAGGTAAGTTCTCAGAGGAGAACCACAATTTTCCAAGACTTGTTCTTCCCCTGAGAGAAAGGACTTCTAAAGGTCGAGCTGATGTTTTTACTTCATTTAGCTTAAGTGGCCTGTGTGACTGAAGGTGGTCAAATGCTTTACAAAGTTGGCCGTTAGCCTGATCCCTCTCCAGAGATGGTTTAGTATCATAATTTATCCTCGCCTGTGATGGCCTTTGGATTTCTGTCCTACTTCAGCAAATCTCTCTGGGAAACAATCTGTGTGGGAGCATTTTTGTGTGACAGAGAAGAATGGGCAGCTGCCAGAGGAAGCAGAGTCCCAAGCCATATAACGCTTGAAGGGTCAACAAGTCCACTTCAGGGAGAGCCTGACAGTCAGTTAAGAGCACTGCATGCCCCGGCACAGGCTGGGGGTGAACTCTGGCTCACACTGAGGGGACTTCACATTTGCTGAAAACCATGGAGGTACATACATTCCACTCAACATAAAGAGGGCTGCTGGCCTTGTCATTGGCGAAGAAAGCAGGGAAGGGGGTAGGGGTCAGTGTCTGAGAGGCCGCAAAGTAAAGGGAAAGGAGGGTGGACAACAATAACTGGAAGCCAGGTGGACGTCTGGCTTGCATTTAGGTTCAATAAAAGTGCTCAGATGGATGTCGCACCTATATCTTTGCTGAATCCTTCTTTATTCTTTCTGCCTCCCACTCTGGAAGCCCTTCCATGTGCCAGGATGTTCCCGGTAGTGGACCTAGAGTGAGCCCTGTGCATTGTCAGACACCCCCTCAGAACCTGGTGTGTGCTCTCGGACAGCCCCTTCTGGGCCATGCCAATGACTGATGGCCAGCGGCTGACGAGGACACCGTGGAGAAGTAGCACTCATGTTTTAAAGAAATGGCCTGAAGGCCTGAGGTCAGTTCTCCTTACTCTCCTTGCTGTGTCCTGGGCATTAGTATCTTGTTTGTTTGTTTGTTTGTTTGTTTGAAATTAAAGCATGTCTTCAAAAATATGTCAAGATTAAGTCATGAAACTTAGGGTCAAATTTTACTTGCTAAAGCTTCACAAATGTTGGCTGTGAGGATTTTTCTTCCCCAGATGGAGGACTGGTTCCATGTCCTCCAGGGCTAGTCAGTGGCCTTGAACTTGCTGTCCATAGACCTTCCCTCCCACAGGGCAACTGTCTATATATCTACTTTCATTTTGTCTGCCCTAAATAAGAGTGGGGGCTTTGCAGCTAATCAAAAGGAATTAACAGTTCTCTCACTTCACACTATGGCTCTTCTTAGCTCCAGACCCAGAAGGAGAAAATCAGGCCATGCATGCTCAAAACAGAGACAAGGACATGTTAATTGGCCTCTTCCCAAATCCTGAATTTCAAGTTACCTGGATCTTTGCTACTATCCTTATCATTTCTGTGCATTTTATTTGGCCTTCAGGGCAAGCTTTTAGTTTTGGGGAAACAGTGAATATGAGATCTCAGAAATCTTTTGATGAGTAAATCAGAGCAAGCATAACTTCAAATAAACACGCAGGCTGAGAAAAACAACTCAGCTCCAAATGATTTAGGGTAGGGCACCCAGGGCAGGGCATGGTTGGTGTGTCTTCTTTTGTTAAGAGCAGTGAGGAAGTAACATCATGTCATTTGTGTGATCTGAGGGAACACTGTGAACTGCCTTTCTTCTATTCATTTTCACATAAACGGCCAAACACTCTTGTAAATTAGTTGTGAGCCACAGAGGGTAGATGAAAAGGAGTTTTCTAAAACCAGCCCATGACTGAGAGGAAGAAAGAAGGAATCTATGAAAGACAATGAAGAAACACGGGGAAGCAAAACAGAACAACTCCTCAGGTTCTAAAAAGACAGTGCTTATCCTATACATGCTCAGTGTCCCCACGGGAGGGTTAAAGTGATTCTTGAGTCTAACACTTAATTTGGCTGGTATTGACTTTTCTAGGAAGCATCTGTATAATTTCCTCTTGGCTTCTGGATCTGGGAACATGAGACCCCTCCACCCCCACCGCTTGGTCAGATATAAACCTCAAATTGCACTTTTCATTTTAAATCAATCCCAAACTAAACCAGGCCAGACAGAAAGCTCCCAAACAAACAAGTGAAAATTGATCATCTGTTTCAAAGACAATTGGTTGAGGGGCTGACAGCGAAACTTACGACAGGTTTATTTCCTTCCTTTATGGTGATCCAGTCTTCCCCATTGGAGCTAATGTCTATTCTGTAAGTCTTGACATAGTATTTCTTCTTGGTTTCCTTTGAAATGGCTCCCTGTGTCCCGACAGCAGTGACAAAGCGCAGAAGGCCCAAGTCTACCTGCAAAACAATACAAGCTTAGTCAATCATTCACCCTGCACCATCATAACCTGAAACATCTTTTCCCGTGGGTTCCACAGTGCAGTTTTCAGCCACCTGAGAGTTATAGGTCCTACTTATAGGACCCCATGTTGTGTAAGGGTCAACTACAGTGTTTTTTTTTTTTTTCTTTTACTTCCTACCTGGCATCAACATCCCCTATCTTCTCCATTTCATCCCTTCTAAAGAAAGCCATGGCTAGGATTAAGACAGCAATTGTCCGAGTTTGGCAGTTCCAGGAAGAGACTGCTGCAACCACAATTGCTTGATCTTGGTACAAAAGTGAACACTGGTTTCAATATCATTTTGCTATATTTTCTAAGAGATTAAAAATTCTTTCCAAACAATGCATTGGTATGTGTTATTTTACAATTAGAAAAGATAAGATAAAATTAGGAAAGACAAGATAAACTTGTAAATTGGATGTTGGAGAGGCTTGGACTAAAACTCAGGTCTAATGGGCTCCCATTTCTCATCACTCTTCAGCATCTGTCCCCTTCCAGACAGAAACAAGAGGACTTTGAAAGCACTAGGAGTGCTGTGGTTTGGAGAATGGGCCAGAGACTTATAATCTGGAATGGAGGGGAGACCAGGAAGGCAAAGTAAGGATATCTGTTTCATCCTTAGATTTCTTCCTTCCCCATATCTTCCCATGGCCTCTCTTGCAGTTCAGCTTAAGAGGCAAGTGGATTCCAAGGGATCATCTGGGAAGGACTGATGCCTCCAAGTGACAATGGCTAGAGTTCACAAGCTCCTACTGTAAGTTTCCAGTGGAGAAGTTCCTCAACATTGGAGCCTCGTCTTCATCTCTCACTAGCCTGTCTCGTACCCCTGAAGGTTGGGCTACTTGGAAGGCATCACAGCAGTGATGAGAGAGGGTGACCAAAGCCTGAAGGTCCACGATTTCCTGGCAGAGGTGTGCAGTGGCTTGGGTTGTTCCTGCGACCCTGTGATATGAGTGGGTGGGACAAAGATCTAAGCATCGGGCCCTCAAATGTCTAGTATTGGTTCTGCCACTAGCTAGCTGTTGGGCCTCGGACAAATCACTTCATCTTTAATGACTTTAGATTTCCAGTTCTTCGTCTGTTAAATAAAAGAGTTGGGCTAGATAACCTGGAAGGCCCCTTTCAACTCTGACTTCCTATGATTCCATGTTCTCTGTAAAGTAAAATACTGTTGACCCTTGAACAATGAGGGGGGGTTAGGGGCTCTGACCTGCGCCATAGTTGAAGATCAATG